AATAAAACACTAATTTCCTCGGCACACCTAGCTGACATCCTCCTGAATACACACGTGTGCCCACGTTAAACAGACTAACGCATTTCTTTGAAATCTGATTCCAACTAAGGCAGCTTCCTTTACACAGAAGTGTAGGTGTAATTCAAAATGAGCTCTAAATTAAAACATTTGAATTCATAAGGAAAGAGGAAAATTTCATTTGCCAGTAAAATAAAGAGGTAAAAATGACCGTCTACCTGTGTAGATGAGCGAATCTGTTTACCGTGCATCAGGAAACACGTGGAGGCAGGCTAAAAATGTCCATGGCTTTTTTTTCTCGCTAATGTCCAGCGCTGCCAAAGAAAGGCAAGCTTATGATAATATTTGTAAAATTAAAAAAATTCCTGAAGATTCCCAGGCTCTGTTTCAAACAGCATTTAGGTTTTTTTTATTTTTATTTGGTGAATTTTACGAGACCTTGTATTGTCTTTTGCTCCTTGAGTGTGTTTGTCTCATCACGGTCTCGTGAGACGACTCTGACCTTACAGTTTTGGATCAATGTCTGAAACAACTCCTACATTAGCATGCATCTGCGTATGAGTGTGTTCAAGGTTTTGAGCAAATGAGAACACAACAAGTCTTTGGCTAGCCTTGCACCAAAAGCTATCCAAATGCACTTTTTTTCTTTTTCTGAGGCCAAGAATAGTGTGAGAAGCCTCCCTCTCACTCCCTGTCTCTAATGTGTGGGGGTTCTCCCTGCATCTTAACCCTTCAGATTTTATACGCAGCTGCCTCTATGTGTCCCTGAAGCCAGACAGAACAGACCTGGCTAAATGAGAGCTATCGTAAACATTCGCCGATGCCAAAAGCTTCTCTGCGTGTGAAGAGCTTTTCTTAGCCGACGTGGGCCCTGTTCCCAGCACACAATACAAAAGCCTCTGACCTGACAGACTCCCCGAGTGTCAAGATTTCATTTCATCAAAACCTCGCTGCTGAGCGTCGGCCTAGGCTCTGCTCACACACACAAACACTTTCACACGAGGACAGTCCACTCAACAACTGCGGTGTCATGGGAGCCTGAGAAGAGACCAGGAGGTAATTAACAACAGATTACTTTCACAAAAAAAAAACAATGAAGAAGAAGAAATGTGGACCTGTGGAACCCATCAGACTATACCGTCAACTTCTCATTGGAGGTCATTCATCATGTCACCCCAGAGAATTTTATTTCATTTTTTTATTAATGCTGCATTTCTGCTCCTCTTCATCCTTGCTTTACTTTGCATTTTTCCAACCCATTAATCCAGAGTTTTCATGAGCTCATTGGGTATTGCTTGAGAGTCCCCGCTGTGGTCGGCCAGTTGGCCGGAGGCTGGCCACGGCACTGGGGCCTTCTCTGGACTTTCTCACAGCGCCGTCCAAGGCATTACTACTGCAATAGTGAGACGGAGGCGGGATCTGGCTCCGGGGAACGTGGAGTGTGGAGCGGTCACTGCAGAAAATGGCAAGGCGAGCACATTTCACACCTCCCTCAGAGTGACTGCAAATTTCCTGTGCTGCACTTTTGATTGGAAACACATTTGAAACATCTTTTCATGATCACACTTACAGCGTACAAAGAAAGGAGGAAAAAAAATAGATTTATGAATAAGATCCAAACTATGAGTAAGAGCACTTTGGACTTGACAAATGCTTTTTTTATCTTTCATTTTTCCAACCCTGAATAAATCAGAAATGTGCAAAGTTTAATCTAAAACATTGCAAAGACTATGAATCAAATGGTCGTCTGAAGACTTTGAGAGGCGGTGAAATAAGTTCTCAGACGGTGGAAAGTGGAGCCATAGTCTGTAGTGAGCCACAGCTACTGGCTACGTTTACGACTCATTGAAGGGTCCTTGCTAGCACGTGGTGCTCAGGAACAGATCATTATCTTTTTTATAATTTACTTTCACTTCTAAAACGCCAAAGGTAAACAGTCGCCTCTTCTTCTCGTGTGCCAGCAGCATTATATAAAGTGTGCTTCTCATTTTTCTTTCCTTTTATCAAAAGAGTCTGAAAGCAGGGAGAAGGCTGTCTACAGCGGTGTTGTGGTGAATTCTGTAACGGCTGCGGTGTGTTATGCTCTGTAACAGAGAGGATCTCAGAGGCTGGCTGGCTGCAGAACAGTCTGAGAAAGCCTGACGACAAGCCCAGAGATTCCCCGTGGCAGCTTTTGCCACTCTGTCATAAACAAAACACAAGACGTCTTTCTCTTCTTCCCACACCAACGGAGCTGCGGTGCTGCCAAACAGAACAATCACTATTGTAGCCTCTTCTTTCCAATATGCTCTCTCTGCCTCTCTCTCTCTCTGTGTGTCTCCTACAATATAAACAAAAGAGATCAGCGGAGGCTTTACCTCTGTGAGTGCAACAATGAGGGCCATGTTTAAGGAGACAAAACAAAAGTGTGTACGGGATCAAAGAGGAGCCAGGAAGACAGAGTAGCTAAAGACCGACAGAATACACAGCAAACAAAAACAAATAACACATCTCATGACTTACTCACTACGGAGGCAACGAAAATCACAAATATACACGAGTACGCAGATCTGCACGATAGACCAATACGGACCATCATACAGCCAGATGTAAACGAGATCTAAGAGTGGAAACAGCGAAACCGTGGGACGTTTACAGATACCGGTTACTTTATCGCTGTCTTAATCACTTTGTCTGTCTGCCAGTCAATCAAAGCATGACTAAGACTAAGCATCGGCCCTTTGGAAGGAGATAAAAATACAGCAAGGCACTTTGTTAGCCAAATAAGATAACGAACAGCAAACAGAGGGCTGACACTATGAATGGCCCATGCAGCACGTGTTTTACCTCACTCCTGTAAACCAAAGGAGCATGGAACAGAACGCTCAGAAACACGCCAAAAACCCAACGGCTGCATTATCAGGGGGGAAATGATGCCTGCACGCATCAAGTAAAAATAAAACTCTGTCTGTCTGATGCAAGTGTCATCCCAAATTTTGTTTCCCTTTAAATAAAACTCCCCAAAATAATTTTATGTTCAAACATTTCATATATTTAATTCCAATAAACTGCAGATCACTTGATTTTTTCCCTCCATTAGTTGATGAACTACTTTCTTTATTTAAAGTTCAAATGAGCAAATATAGTGAATTCTTGTAAATTAATAATTTAGCTAAATTAAGATCATCTCAATTATTTACAAAATTTTCTTTATTTTTACAATTTGCAGATGAGACGAGCAATAATTTTTGTAAATCTAAAATTATAATTTAGAAAATATTTGTGCTTTGAGCATTAGTGAATGCAAAAGTTCATGCTGGGTCTCAGATTCAAATGATGCACATGACAATAAATAAAATCTAATATGTTTTGAAAGCAGTTTATAAAAAAGAAACCAAAACAATGAGACAGACTGCGTGCATATCGGTTATTGCCATCAAAGAAAGACCAACAAAGCAGAGCTGAAGCTGCTGCCAGGGTTTGGCTCGGGCCGTACGAGGTGTCTGGCCTGGACTGAGATTCTGTGTGTGTGCGTGCATGTGTGTGTGTGTGTGTGTGTGTGTGTGTGTGTGTGTGTGTGTGTGTGTGCGTGTGTGTGTGTGTGTGTGTGTGCTTGTGTGTGTGTGTGTCACAGAGAAACACAGAAAACCGGCTGTGATAGCATTTGGCTACACATTATTGGCTAACGTAAGAGTAAGTTGGTGTGTTTAGGCAGCGACGGCAGTATGCTGCACATAGATGTATGTGCTGTTTGAGTCACTGTTTGAAATTTCCAGAAAATTCCAGCTGAGATAATATTAGGTCATAAGCTTGTTTGAACACCCAGACAGCAAATGGTGATGTGGTGTGTATTTGAAGGATTTGGCTGTGAAGCATATTTTGCGAGAGTGTGTGTGGCTGCTGTGACTGCGTTTTTTGCAGCGTGGAGGAAAAAAAATACAGCCAGTGTTTTGGCCGCGTATGTGTAGAGTACGCTCACAGTGATGTTTGGCTGGGGTGAGAGTGTGTATCCATGACGGTGGCTGAAATACAGCAATGTTTGGCCGTATCAAACTGTATCTGTGATAGTGCCTTGGACCAAACGCGTGCACTGTGTGGGTGGGTGTGGACAATCGTGACTAAAACCGTGCTTGGCTGTAAAAGTGCGCTCACAGAGATGTTCCATTTGTTTTTTTTTTTCTTTAAAAGCTGCAGACAGAAAGAACAAAAGCAAAATGCTGCATCCTTATTTAGCCGTGTTTACATGGGTGTGAACGTGGCCGTGCCGGTTTGTGTGCGAGCATGTGCTTGGCAGGCAGGTCCGATGTAGTGCTAGTGTTCAGGCAGACAGCGAGGGCAGCAGCAGCCTGTGGCCTGAGACCATGAGACTCACGGCTCCGCTTCTCTTTCACACACACACAGAAAACACACACCCTGGGCTTGGGCCAAGTTACCATCCCTCACTAGAATAACCGTATTCACGACAGTAGCTACGCTTCCAACACTATTAGAGACAGTCACTCCCCTTTGAGCAACATGCAACACATTAGCACAGAACTTCAGAGTCGTGATCGACACACACACACACACACACACACACACACACACACACACACACACACACACACACACACACACACACACACACACACACACACACACAAGCAAAACCGTGCAATTTTATTTTTCTAGACAAAAGCTGCCTGGAAAACAAATAAACACAAACCCGCCAGAACAAGCCGGTTGTGTATTCATTAATAAATATATAATATTAAAAAAGACAAAAACAGTTGAAAAAGAAAACATGAAATGATTTTTATTTTGTTTACCTGAAGTAAATAGGTGACTGAATATTTTTAGAATATTTCATTATTATTAAAGAGCTTTTTAGTGTATTTTAATTCATGTATTGTTTTTTGGAGGCAGTGGTGTTAAAGTGTGTGTTAGTGTTTTTTCTGTAGGTGTGTGTGTGTGTGTTCAACATACATGAGCCTGGCCGTGTGCTGTGTGACGCTGAAACATACCTGGCGAGTGGACAAAGTAGGCCAGGTACAGGTCCAGCTCCTTGACAGACACCCCGATGTGGTGCGGCTGGACGCACAGACCGGGGTTGGTGCACTGTGGAGACTTGACCAGCCGCTCTCCATCCGTGCTCTCCAGGGGGCTGCCCTTGAACAGGATGACCATCACCAGGTCCAGTCGCCACACCTTGTCGGCCTGACGCAGGCAGTCGATGCGGCGGATCTTGCCCTTCTGGTCGGGGTTGGACAGCACGCAGCAGGGGGGCTTTTTGCCTGTGATGGTGAGCACAAAGTCCTCACGGAACTCAGGCCGGATGTCCTTGCGGAGCTTGGCCAGCAGGCGCGAGGCCCACTTCTGCTTAATCTCTGGCTTCTCCCCGAGTAGCTCATCCTTCACTGCACGCTCTTCCTCCTTGGACATGCGCTTCTCGTGCTTCTTGAAGTATTTGCGCTTGCGGGCCTGCAGGTTAAACCAGGTGTAGGCGAAGGCGCGGACATGGGGCAGAAGGGCCTCGATGAATGGGTGGAATTCATCCTGGATGAGGGAGGAGGACGGGGGGAGAGTTGAGGAGGAGAGGGAGGAGGGGGGGAGGCAGGAGGAAAGAGAGGGGGAGAATGGGGGAGAGAAGGATGGGGAGAGAGGAAGCGGGGGTGAGGAGGGGAAGAGAGAAGACAGGCAGTTAGCACCGGCACGCAGCATGGAGGAGCGGCGCCTGCTCCGTGTGAGCGGAGGGAAAGAATGAGAGGCGCTAAGAGACTGAGAGAAAGAAAGAGAGATAGAGATGGGGAGAGAGGGAAGGATGCTTTACACTCTCTAACAGGGACGCATCACACTGAAGGACACAGACGGAACAACGCTCCACACACACCGAGGTAAGGAGTGAAAGGAGATGAGATGGAACGACCAGGTAACCCGCAAACACGGATAAAATCTACAAAGAATTAAATCTGTAAAACTTTCCACATAAGACAAGACAGCATTGGTTAAAAAAATGACACTTTTTTTGTTACTAATTAATGAAAATAAAACATTTAAACCCCCCCACTGCATCTGCAGTCAAATTGTAGATAACGTGCATCATCAGAAACGAGCGAATAAAACAAAAATGACACAGTAGTTACCATTTTGCTCTTTCATCATAAATTCACTCCATCGATTGCAAAAAAAATAAAAAAACTTTAAATGCAGAACCAGTTCAGTGACTGGGTTGTGGAGCGCTGGAGTTCTGCTGTGAGTTTTTCAAAATAAAAGACAGAAAACAAGCAAACACAAACAAAAAATAAATAAATAAAGCTGAAGCTTAATAACTGTCCAAAGAAGGTAGCACGAGGGGCAAAATCAGAGGAGACGGGCCAACGGTGCAATACCAGCACAGGAACACAGGAGGTACTGGAGCAGGAGCAGCGCAGAGACGTGCTGCTCAAGAGCACAGCAGAAGGAGAGTGAAGGCAAGTTTAGCAACCTCTCTATCTAAGTGAAAAACAATAATAATACATTTAAAAAAAATTAGATTTCTTTCTGTCAAAAATCAAAACAATCACTGTTTGCAAAAAAAAATTCTTCATGAAAAACAAACAGAAAAAAACAGTCTGCAGCAGCGTGTGCTATTGGTTCAGTCTGCATGGAGTCACAGGGAGGGAGAGCTGGACGAGGAGGGGGGGCGGATGGAGGAGAAGAAAAAGAAGAAAAAAAAACCAGAGGACCAAATAAATGTTGGAAGACTGTGCACGACCACTGGCAAACCCGAGTGCAGCTTCTTTTTTCTTTCCCCCTCTTTCTCTCCAACTCTGGCTCTCTCTGTTTCTCTCTTCCTCTCCACTTTCTGTCTCTAACCATTGACTGAGTCTGTGCCAACACGCAGAGGGCCCACCTACCTGGCACCGAGTCTGAAGCAGCCCAGCCAATACGCGCGCTCCCAGCACTCAAAGGGAGGGAAGAGAGACATGGCACCCAGAGAAACAGGGAGGTGGGGGGCGTGAACGGTTACTGGCTGCTGGTGTGTGTGTGGGGGGTGCAGGCAGAAGGCTCGTCATTAGCCAAACAGACAAGTTCCAATCTAATGCTGAGGCAAAGTCCAGAGGATATTAATTTTACTTGCATCCAGACAACACCCACCTTCTAAAGCTGACGCTCCCTCCCTCCCTCAGCTTCTTCGTCACCAATATGCTCACACACACACACACACACACACACACACACACACACCGAAACACCCCTCTCTCTCACCCTCTCTGTGCTCGCGTTACACCACCTTGGCATGGGATGGCATGAGAAAAAAAAACACAGACCCAAAATCCCACTAGACCCTGAGACCAGCAGCTGCTCCAGGATTTACCACACAAACAAAGAGAGGAGGGGGGAGAGAGGGACCCCCCCACCACACACACACACACACACACACACACACACACACACACACACAAACAAAAAATACCATCCAAAAACATGCTCTCTTGTTTCAAAATGCACTCTTACGTCCAAACTGGCCCTTTCTCCTCCTCGTCTCTCCATTTTTTGTTGTCACTCCACTTTAATAGCCCCAACAGTTCAGACACAGAAACATATTAAAAGTTTCTGTTACCAAATTAGGAATTGATCCCAAACTGCCGAAAATGCTGTGGTGGGCAGCGTAATGCACGCAGCCTGTGTGTGTGTGTGTGTGTGTGTGTGTGTTACACTACATTCATTAGGCTGTCTCCTCCCTCTTAAAATCAACAACTCACTTTCTTACTCAGACATGCAGTTTTTATACTATAAACTACAATTCATTTTCCTCCACACTGTTTTTTTTTATGTTGCAATAATAAATTGAATCAAACAAGTCATGAGGAACCGGGTCGTTCTCGGGCCTTCATGGCAGATCCAAACTATTCCAGAAAAATGCTTCCCCCTCGTGCTCCAAGGGGAAAAGTTGGCACAACTGCTCCCAAAAACAGCAGTCCAGCATGACTTGGTGTAAAAAAATCCAGTCATTCCTGTATCTTTAAGACAAGTCTGCAACACTCCCTTAATTAGAAACACTTTTCTTTGTCAGTCTCCCAAATAACAAAAAAAAAAAAACACATTTGCTGAATTGTTCAGTCCAAATGACATGAATTAGTCCACGAGGCACACAGGAATTACAGAGATATTGTCAAAACTGGAATCTGGACAGTGGGCAGCCATAAAAAGCTGACTTGTCATGTGGCAAAGTTGAGGGCACAGCCATGTGATTGACGCTGAAGCCACCTGCTGTGCGACGGAACAAGTTGTCTATGTGAACGCCCTACAAAGGCTAGAGTCCTCTGGTTGGCTCCCAGACCATCAGATTTAGTGCGTCTTGCCCCTTCTGTCAGAGTCTGACAGAGGAGCCTCAGCCCGGATGACTGGCTGCTCCGCCGACAGGCTGGCTGAAAAGCTGAATGGCTGGCTGGGTGAATGACTAGTTGGCAAGTCAGCCAGGTAGCTAGCTGGCTATTTGAATGCCTGGCTTGATGGCCGGCCGCTGCTATTGGAGCAGGCGAACCAGGCCTGGTGCCGCCTGTTCGCTCTAACATACGCCCGCCTCACACGGCCGAGCCGAACATGTGAAAATGTGGGACTCAAAGAGGAGCGGGTGCAAAACGAAGATGGAGGTGGAATTTAAAAGGATGTGAGTGACTTGTTCTGTGCTCTGGATCGGTGAATGAGGTGTGTTTGTCGGTGCTCGATGTGACAGCGCAGATTTAGACTTCACAAACCAGACAAGAGCTGCTTTCACTTCCTGTAAACTGATCCTACGGTAGGTGACCGGTAAATCCGCCAAAATCGTAAACTCCTAAAGCGGTCACACATTTTCTTTTGTGGTTCCTACATTTACGCTCTTTCTAAAGCCTTCACAAACGATGAACACAGGAACATTTCACTAGATAATCCAGGCAAATTAAAGCAAAAAAAAAAAAAAAAAAACGTAATCACCCAAAAACGTAATCATAAACTGGGCAGAGCAGCTCAGTGAACAATTTGCAGTCAAAGCAAATTTTTTATGATTTTGGCAGAGAAGTGAGTCTGTGCGGCACGCTGCTATTAGCGCGGCCTTTTTGTGGCGTTTTTAAACCCACGTTAGCTTCAGCTCATTAGTGAAGGTGGCTCCTGTTTGCTGAAACAGGCTCCTAACAAACGTAGAGCCTCCGCTGCTGGAGCTCGACAGTTATCAGCTCTGTGGTAATTTAAGTCAGAGTTCATCTTATCTCTGCCGCGCTTCGCCTTTCAGAAACGGATGACCTTTGTTTGGCAGACTGGGTGAGCCAATCTCCGCTCACGGCAAAATATTTTGTTTTGTTCTTTTCATTTTGAGAAAAGGGTGAAGAAGATGTAGTCCATGCTGTGTGAATGAAGACCGATGGAACGGCGGAGCCGCCAGAAACGGAAAAAAGAAATTTAAAAAACAACAAAGTCTGTTTTTTTATTCATTAACCCCCAGGATATTCCAGCCATATATTTTAACCACTACTAGCTACATTTGTTGAGATAACAAGTGGAGGAGACACACGCCTAAACCCCGATGTGAGGCCCGTCCTCAAACCGTCCACCTTAAACCTGTCTTTAGTTCAGGTAAACGACCAGAAAGCATCTGATACCAAATGGAAAATAAATGCTATGTAAAAATTGCTTTTCATTTTAAATAATAATAATAATAATAATTTGTTTTGGACTGATACTGGACCATAAAATACACCGAAAACCCTAAATAATCCCAATTAAAACCCTAAAAGACGGTTAAAGTATTTATTAAAACGCGCTACATTTTAGCTCCGTCTGCATTTATATCTAATATGTGAGTTAGATGTGGAGGTTTGGTGTAACACTTAGTAAAACAACTTACAACCATTACATTTATTTTAAATAAGAGGAGCGTGGGTTTTAGGGAAAACGCAAACTCAACTACGCGACTTCTTAAAGAGCAAGTCACCCCCAAATCACATTTTTTTGCTGATAAACTATATAAAGGAGTGTCTAATCATGCTACAGACACGTGTCGTCAATAATTTGGCAGTTCAGTGCATCTTGGTTAAAATTCAAATATTCTGCCTAAAACTGACAGTGTTGCGTCGTCGTCAGGGAAAAACTCTGCACTGTATTTGAATTTAAATCTGCCACCGCTATTGGCTAAGAGGTATGCTATGATGTCATCTGGTATATTATGATGTCATAATTCCATTGTGAGCCTGTGTGTGTTTGTATTTGTTAGCGGCTCCGCCCTCTCGGTCTGCCAAGCAACAGCATTTGTTGCATTTTTCAAACATGAAGTGGGAGTGAAGTACGTTTCTTGTAGGGGGTGACTTGCTCTTTAAACAGCTTTTATCATGTTAAGAGCAAAAAAATCATTTATGTGTAATTCAGGAGGTCAACTTAATAAACATGAAAACAAAAATTCATGTTAGGGAAGTATCTGAATCCGGATGAGTTATGATGAAGGAATCCAGATGTTCTAGATCCAGATGTGATGGAGGTGTGGAACTGAGTTATGGTGTGTTTTGTTAACAGATGATGAAATCTGATCTGTATCACATATGTAAATAATTAAAAGGGAACATCTTTTAATTTTCGTTCACGTTGTTTTGTTTTATTTTGTTTTCTTGTATTTGATCATTTTTATTTGTGTTGGAAACAACAAAAAATCAGACGCACCCCTGCGCCTGTCTCTCGGAGCTCCTCTCTGTCCTCGGCCTCTAAAGGAGTCTGCCTTTCCATCTGCTTGTGATTTTTTCTCAGGTCTTCTCTTAAACGTACCTTTTTTTCACACACCTGTCTCCTCTGTCTCTTGTCTCTCTGCATCTCCTCTCCTCCCTCAGAAATTCTGCTTCTGGGCTTTCCCACCTTTCCCACTGGTGAACGGAGCAGATCAAAGGGATTTACTGACCAGAGATATTAATCAGTGGTGCGCTGCCGAGGCAGTGGGAGAAGTGACCGGTCCGAGCGCTGCTCCCGTAGCCACGGCGTTGGTGCCGCGCGAGCGGAGCGATTCAGGCGCGACCAACAGAAAGAACCAGAGAATAGGATCAGACCTGAACTGTCGCCTTTTTTACTTTGATGGAGCGGATATGAGAAGGTTACTTTATAATTAACATCTCATGGTCTCTTTTTTTCCGTTAACTGTTCATGGGGGCCCCTAGCTGGCGTGGGCCCCTGGCCCTGGGCCCATTATGCCATTATAATCCGCCGTGAGAAGCACCCCGTTAACGGTTCCCCTGAAACGCACCGGATTAAAGAGAGCGCCGAGGCTCGGCTGGTTACAAAGGATTTGAACTCTGTCCTGATTTTATAATGTTATCAGCCAACCAGAGAGGAGTTTAGTGTATTAATCCGTCATCGGGTCTAATAGACGAGACACCTGCAAACACATCCGGCCGGTTTGAAGCCACGTGTTTATGTCGTGCTGCTGCTGAGCCTATAGGCAGATTACTCACATGAAGAAAAATATAAAAAATGGAAATGATAGGTCTAATTATGACAAAATATTTGATCCACACACCTCAAATAGTCTTAATTTTTGGGAAAACCTCAATTTAATTTTAAAAGTTTGAAACAATAAAGCAGGATGAATTTCGCTGCCTTAATTAAATTACAGTTTAAAAAAATCTAAATCTAAATTATAAATTTAAATTATTTTCACACGCTTAATTACATGATGTAAAACCTTCTGCATTTATCTTGATTATTATAATAAATATTAATAATAAGTGTTATTAGCTGAAATGTAAGGAACAAAGTAAAATAACAAATTATAGAAATTGAATTTGAGCTAAAACAAACTTTTCTAAAATGTTCCTGTGTTTTTTAGATCCAAAACCTACTTGGTTTTAATTTATAGATTTTATTATTATTATTAATAATAATAATAATAATAATAATAATAGACGCAGTAGGACGTACAGACCCTCGATAAAGAGCTGATTGGGCTTGCCTG